ATCATTGAATACATAGAAAATGAGGTTATATGATTTGCAGTTCCAGTGCTGAAAAAGCGAATTAAGTCCAGAAGAGGGTTCAACTTCCAAGGATTTCTGTATTGGTGATACTGCAGATGGAAGTTAAAAAGTGGTGATTTAATGACTTGAAAGCTTCTTCAAGATGCCCAGAATGAATTTAAATGTGGTGCTTTACCCAAAAAAATGGAATTCTAGACAGAACAGTTTGCTGCTGGAAATAAATGGACCAAGACCAAGATGTTACCATGTTGTATGGGACTATGAGAGACCTTTAAGAAGGCCAAATTTAATAACAAAATGAAGCACATTATGGGGATGAACAACTGTGCCTGAAGACTATCATTAAGATAAAAAACCTATTGTTCAAATTTTCTTCTTTCCAAATGATACAGTTTACCTATGCATCAAATGCACTGACCAAAACTTAAGGATAGGAAACGTGCAGGATACTCCAACCTCACCTCCTGCACTCTAATGATAAAAAAATTTTAAAAATAATAATAACTATAATGTACCCTTATGTACAAGAGGAAACCAAACTAGTAAGCCAAGAAGAAAATAACTAGTGCATGAAATGACAGTTTAGCTCATAAATGTCTTTCTAATACCATTTATCTGAATATCTACAGTTCCACAAGAAAGGATAGAAAATCAAAGTCATCCATAGTCAAAATGCTGAAGAGTTCTTCTGTAGTTGAAAGATAAGTAAACAAATTTCACATTCCAGCAAAAGATGGATTGAGCCACATGGTTTTAATTCCTATTAGCTATGGCACTACCCAGGCCAGTACTTGATGAAAACTCATTCCGGCCTTTATGGACTCAGAAAAATGAACTTACTAGTGAAACTCAACCAAACAAACACCATATAGCACAAAGTTTTGAAAAAAAGAAAACTGCTGAAATCTATTAGCTCGAACAGAACCAGATAATATATAGTTCAATTTTTGGTGGTTCTTATATGCTCAAAGAACATTTTCCTTTAGCATTCAGGTTGTCTCCGAACCAGAACTATGAGACCCTTTATAAATAATATAAAGCACAATTAATTACAAAAAATTCTCCCTTTAATAGGTTAGCACTAAGGTTAGTTGCAGGTATATCTTCTTGCACATTAATTCATACTTTACCAGAGGGGAACAAGTCATACAACAATGTTATCAACAGCAATATCAGAAGCCGTACCCAAAAAAAAAAAAAAGGGCAGTATCAGAAGAAGCACAAGCAAGAATCTTTAAGCCATGCTTGTCTTCTTGTAAAATAATAATTTCCACTACAGCTGCACTTTTCCCTGGTCCAGGAGGTCTATGCAGCAAAAATACAACCTTTGTTGACAAAGCTTTTGAAATGGCATCCTTCTTGGTAAAAAGAAATTAAATTAAGTCAGGACTTAGGAAAAAACAGAAATTGATGGTGCCTTCATTTTGAAGATGAATAATAAAAACCTACTAAATTGGAGACTTCTATATATGGTAGCAGATATGTATAAGGCTACCAGGAATGCAATCAACCACAGGAATAAGAAAGGGGAAAGGAAAAGGTAAACATTAGTCATCTGAAAAGAAAAAGCACAAAGAAAGTAAGCAATTACAAACCTGATAGTGAGTTAAGAGTTAAAAGGGCCTAACGTCACCTCCTTCTTTGACAATGTTGGCAATCTCTCTCAAAACAAGAAGGAACTAGATCGGCAGCAGGTACCAGTAGCAAACCTTTACTCAGTTCTATAAAGGCATCCTTCATCCTAGGTTGTAACCTGCACAGAAAATTAATTTGGATTTTTTTCCAAGCTTAATTACGTAAAACATAGTAAAAAAATCGATTACAGAATCAATCTTAGGGAAGAAAGTGTGGTACCAACCCTTCTATACTAGTTTCATTATATTCAGTCTTGT